CTCCTCCCCTCCCTTCCCTCCTCTCCTCTCACTTCCCTTCTCTCCTCTCCTCCCCTCCTCTCCTCTCCTCTTCCCTTCCCTTCCCTCCTCTCCTCATTTCCCTTCTCTCCTCTCCCCTCTCCGCTCCTCCCTCTCCTCTCTTTCCCTTCCCTCCTCTCCTCACTTCCCTTCCCTCCTCTCCCCTCCTCTCCTCTCCTCACTTCCCTTCTCTCCTCTCCCCTCTCCTCCCTTCCCTTCTCTCCTCTCCTCTCACTTCCCTTCCCTTCCCTTCCCTCCTCTCCTGTCACTTCCCTTCTCTCCTCTCCCCTCTCCTCTCTCCTCCCCTCCCTTCCCTCCTCTCCTCTCACTTCCCTTCTCTCCTCTCCTCCCCTCCTCTCCTCCCTCCTCTCCTCTCCTCTCACTTCCCTTCTCTCCTCTCCTCCCCTCCTCTCTCCTCTCCTCTTCCCTTCCCTCCTCTCCTGTCCTCTCACTTCCCTTCCCTTTCCTCCTCCCCTCCCCTCCTCCCCTCCCCTCCCTTCCCTCCTCTCCTCACTTCCCTTCTTTCCTCTCCTCCCCTCCTCTCTCCTCTCTTCCCTTCCCTCTCCTCTCATTTCCCTTCTCTCCTCTCCTCTTCCCTTCCCTCCTCTCCTCCCTCTCCTTTCCTTCCCTTCCCTCCTCTCCTCACTTCCCTTCCCTCCTCTCCTCTCCTCTCCTCACTTCCCTTCTCTCCTCTCCTCTCCTGTCCTCACTTCCCTTCTTTCCTCTCTTCTCCTCTCTTTTCTGTCTTCGTCTCCTTTCTGTCTTCTTCTCCTCTCCCCTCCCTCCCCTCCCCTAAATGCTTAGCCTATTTGAATTCCTCCATTTGCTCCGTAACCAAGTTCCTAAAATTCCTCATTTTATTATTAGTTCTAGCTTGGCATTAAACCAGCGATCTTCCCAGATAGCTATATCTGAATAGAGTTTAGAATCAGAATAGAGCTGGAAGGGTCCTTGGAGGTCTTCTAGTCCAGCCCCCTGTTCAAGCAGGAGAACCTATACCATTTTAGATAAGTGTCTGTCCAGTCGCTCTTCTTAAAAACATCCAGAGATGGAGCGCCCACAATTTCTGGTGGCAAGCTGTTCCACTGGTTAATTGTCTTCACTGTCAGGAAATTTCTCCTTAATTCCAGGTTGCTTCTCTCCTTGATTAGTTTCCATCCATTGTTTCTTGTCCTGCCCTCCGGTGCTTTGGAGAATAGCTTGACTCCCCCGTTCGCTTTGTGGCAGCCTCTCAAATACTGGAATGCTGCTATCATGTCCCACCCCGTCCCCCAGTCTTTCTTTTCTCATACACCTCAAGGAATAGCAGGAATCTGCGGAACGAAGGGATAAATTAAAGAGAAGAAAGCAAGTTAGAACAGGTATTTTAATATTTACTTTAATCTCAAGACAGATGGCATTCCAGCTGTAGTTGTGGCCGAGTGGTTAAGGCGATGGACTAGAAATCCATTGGGGTTTCCCCGCGCAGGTTCGAATCCTGCCAACTACGTAGTCAATTTTTTTTTGTTTCCCCCTTTATTGTGGTCAGGAGCCCAACTTTATCGAATCCTGCCAACTACGTCATTGGGAATTTTTTTCTCCCCTTCCCTTCCCCTTTATTGTGCTCAGGAGCCCAATAACTTTATCAATTTGGAACCAAACCAGAGGTGATATTCAGCCGGTTCAGACCGGTTCGCCCGAACCTATAGCAGAAATCCACGATTTCTGCTATCGGTTCGGGCGAACCGGTCTGAACCGGCTGAATATCACCTCTGGTTTGGTCCTAAATTGATAATTACATTTTTGAAGCCAGGCAGATGCGCGGAAGGCTGGGTGCATGTGTGGACGGGGTGCATGTGAGCGAAGCGCCCCCATGCATGCACACTCACATTTGCAAACCGGTAGGGAAAGTAACCCGTAGGGAAACCACACCTGGACTAAAACCTTTTTAAAATGCTTCCATATTTACATTTTAGAGTTCACCATCTACGAGCGGTCTTCTGTGTTTACTAGTCATCTTTTATTCAAGATGGAAGCTTCTCAAAGATCATTCATTGCCATCCTTCAGTCTCAAGAGGCTATGGTATCGTGCTCTGGAAAGAGGTCCTAAAACTCCATGTAGTGTGACTAAAAAGGCCAATTCGAGAGTGGCCATCCCTTCCACACGGAGGGCAGATACATTCTGTCCCCTGCCCAGCCCCGAGATTTCGCTGGTTCCGGGACTGCCTCTTTGCCTCAGCCTGCCGAACAAGTGTCTCTTCGAATTGGAGAAGGCCATGCTGCCTCTTTAGCCTCCAAGCTGAACGATCGGAGGTCAAGGTTTCCCAGCTGTTAATGTCCATTCCCAGGGCCTTTATATGGTCCCTCTTGCAGATATCCTTATATCGCAGCTGTGGTCTCCCTCTGAGGCGCTTTCCCTGCACTAATTCTCCATACAGGAGATCTTTCGGAATCCGACCATCAGCCATTCTCACGACATGCCCCAGCCAGCGTAGACGTCGCTGTTTCAACAGTGTATACATGCTAGAAATTCCAGCACGTTCCAAGACTGCGCTATTTGGAACTTTGTCCTGCCAGGTGATGCCAAGAATTCGTCGGAGACAGCGCATATGAAAGGTGTTCAACTTTCTCTCCTGCCGTGCGTAGAGGGTCCAAGACTCACTGCGGTATAAGAGTGTGCTCAGGACGCAAGCTCTATAGTCCTCGATCTTTGTACGTTCCGTCAGCTTCTTATTAAGCCAGAATGAAGCTTCTCAAAATTGCCCTAGTATTTAATGCATGAATAATACATACTTAATATATTTAATCATTAATAATAATTAATAATACATACTTAAGACGTTTAAGGGACGCGGTGGCTCAGTGGCTAAGATGCTCAGCTTGTTGAAAGAAAGGTCGGCGGTTCAGCGGTTCGAATCCCCAGTGCCGCGTAACGGGGTGAGCTCCCCTTACTTGTCCCAGCTTCTGCCAACCTAGCAATTCGAATAATTAGGTTAATCCCAGTGTAATCTTTTAATTTTTTTTTCTATTTTTTCCTCTTATCTTAAGTGTTTCTGTTACTTTTCTGTTATTTTTGTAACAGTCATTAGCACCTGCTATGAGTTTTCCTTTCAGCTGGTGCTTCTTGGGTTTCTTCAAAGGGTGAAGAACTGGCTTGAGTCTCTTGGCACTGTTTTCTGAAGTTTCTGGTGCTATGAGGTTCCTGGCACTGTCCTTTTGAGGTGTACTTCCCACACATACATATGTATTTTACTTAGAATATAGAAATGAAAGGCTGGAAAACATTCCCGGGTCAGACAGATGCATTTATTTGTGCAAAAGGTTCAGTGCAGTTTTTGGTCGTTGCAAAACTGAACAAGGATGAGTTATGATTTTACTATTTATATATGTTTTCAAGACAAAGAGTTCTATGAGCCCTTCCGCCTTCCATATATGGTTACATTATAAATACATTATACTTACATTACACTTTACTAATTACCAAACCATTACATGCTAGTTAATAAAATTATGTTGGCTACGCATTTTTACTACTCCCATCACTTTATAGTTTACAACTTTCCTTTAAGTGCTGTAATGTTTAAATGCAGAAATTATGGCTATACTTTAAACAATAAGTAACTTTCTGTCTCCCATGTATATCCTTTCAGATGTTCCCATATATCTGTATTTCCATAGTTTTTGATTCTATTAAGATGCATAGAATCAGTGTGTTTGACACAGTGTCATAGGTCAAGTAATTATGAGGAAATCCATGAACTAATTGCTTAGCTTCTTCTCTTTATTCGAGTTTGTCATTCACCAGAACACCATTCTTAGCTTTCCTGATGGATGACAGCTAAGTCCTCTCAGAAGATCTATTGCCAATAATGAAGTTCAGCTGCCTCTAACAAGCACGTTTCTCTCTTGTAATAATGTGAATAGAGAGGTTCTCTCAAAGTTCAATAGAGAAGGTTATTCAGAGTTCATGGGTTTGATCTGACTTTATGTATTTGACTTGGTATGATTATTTCTTTTATTCACCTTATTTCTTATTTGCTATATTTACCTCACTTCCACAACCGAGGTTATAGCTTATTGTCATGGTCATTTCAGGGATAAGGCCCTCCCTACTAAATTTATAGAAATGAAAACTTCTATGGCAATTATATACATTCCGCATACGTTAAGGGGAAGATTTTTTCTTCTCTTCCCCCAAGAAATTACGCGTTAGGAAATTTTCTGGAAAGAAGGGTTAAGCTAAAAATAGAACATAACACCGCTCTCCAGAAAGCATTTTATTCCCTGCATTTTGGACCCTTTCAGAAACGCCTCTTTCTAGATTGCACCACCGCAATGAGGACAAATGTAGAATCAAATCAGTTCACCTTTTTTTAAAAAAATTTGATTTATATGCTGCCCTTCTCTGGAGACTCAGGGCGGCTTACAGTGCGTTAAGCAATAGCCTTCATACTTTTGTATATTTTTATACAAAGTTAGCTTATTGTCCCCACAAACTGGGTCCTTAATTTACCTACCTTAGAAAGGATGGAAGGCTGAGTCAACCTTGATCCTTGGCGAGATTTGAACCTGCAGTAATTGCAGGCAGCTGGTCTTAATAACCAGCTTAATAACAGGGTGCCTTAGACCACTGTACTACCAAGGCTCTTTTTTTGGGTAGGTGGGGGGGGTTTCGAATCCCTAGTACAGGTCTCATGCCTGAGCAGGGGGTTGGACTAGATGACCTCCAAGGTCCCTTCGAACTTCGTTACTGTTACCTATATTAGGTCGCTTTCAACTCTCGTTAACCTGTTGCATTGACGCTTGGTTAGGATTCTAGGCCTCGCCTGGTTGTCTAATTCTGACCAATCCCCGACGAATCTCGAACATTCGAACGCGTTTTTCTTCCCCAGCCAATCAGAGGAGAGCGAGCCGGCTATAAAAGGACGGCCGCGACAGCGCGCGTCCCTTCATTCGAATTCCGGCGAGGAGGAGGAGAGGCAGCAGCGGCAGCGGCGGAGCAGCGCTTAGAGAGAAGGATGGCTCGCACCAAGCAAACGGCTCGCAAGTCGACCGGCGGGAAGGCGCCCCGCAAGCAGCTGGCCACCAAAGCGGCGCGGAAGAGCGCTCCGGCCACGGGCGGCGTGAAGAAGCCTCACCGCTACCGGCCGGGGACCGTGGCCCTCCGCGAGATCCGCCGCTACCAGAAGTCGACGGAGCTGCTGATCCGCAAGCTGCCCTTCCAGCGGCTGGTGCGGGAGATCGCGCAGGACTTCAAGACCGACCTGCGCTTCCAGAGCTCGGCCGTCATGGCCCTGCAGGAGGCGAGCGAGGCTTACCTGGTGGGGCTCTTCGAGGACACCAACCTGTGCGCCATCCACGCCAAGCGCGTCACCATCATGCCCAAGGACATCCAGCTGGCCCGGCGCATCCGCGGGGAGAGGGCGTAAAAAGCCCAGGCTTGCCGCGGGAGTAGAGGGGGGGAAACACTGGAAAAGTCATCGCGCTTAACGGCTCTTTTAAGAGCCATTCACTGCCTCCAGAAAAGAGCTGGCTTCATTTTCTGATTTTTAATGTTAAAAAAAAAAGTCCATTTAACTTTTGGAAGGAGTTTCTAAACTCTTTGCGCAAAACTCATCATTTTCAGTGGGATTATTTGCAACGTTTCCTGCAGCTTTCATTCTATAGGGATGGACCGAAATCTCTGGGTGGTTTCCCCATTTACACTTATTTTTTTTATTTTATTTTTTTAACCTGCCCCGCTTCTAAAGCCAGGTGTAAATAAAAAGATTTTTGCAGCGCGACCGATCTTGCAAAGCTTTTTGCCCCAACGCACGGGGCGATTTCTGTGGGTTTGCAAAATTCGGTGGCTTGGATCAGCGAAAGTAAAATTAAAAAGGACCCGTGCAAAAACGATCGCACGTGGTGCATTGCGAAAGGGTGTTGGAAATACAAGCCTGCATCAGGGAATTCCTGGCAGCGCTTACAGTAGCTAACTACTACCGCTTTTAATGAACGGTGCTGTTTATACAGACGTTTAATCTTAATGCCCCCTCGGATTTGACGTTATTTTAGCAATACTTAAAACTTAAAAAAAAAAAAATGAACAACGACGAAGGTGGGATTCGAACCCACGCGTGCAGAGCACAATGGATTAGCAGTCCATCGCCTTAACCACTCGGCCACCTCGTCGGTATCTCAGATGGGCTTGACTAAATTACCCTGATCCTTAACAGCTCCGATCTTTTCACTATTTTCTGTCTATTTTTGTCTTTTATGTTACATAAGGTTACTCATTAAGTGTTTCGATCTCTGGGAAAGTGACTGTATCCTGTATAACAAGCAAGAGAAAAATATTGGATTCACCGTCTATTACAATAGTAGGGAGAATAGAGGTGCACTAAGTTATGTTTCTTTCATTTGTGGAGTAATTTAAAAAGTTAGTCCAGCAAGTTTCTGAATATGGCTCAGGAGTTGTGCGTGTAAAAACTAAGACCTTATTGGGGGGGTGCTTGAACTTCTTTGAGGTGCCATTGACACAAATTACTAGTTTTTTTTCTAATCAATCAGGCAGTCCTTGATTTACGACCGCAACCAAGCCGAAAATTTATGTCGCTAAGCGAAACATTTGTTAAGTTGAGTTTTGCCCCCTTTTCGGACTTCTCTTGCCACTGTTGTTAAGTGAATTGTTGCAGTTGTTGAGTTAGTCAGGGAGTCTGGCCTCCCCATTGATTTTGCCAGCCAGAAGATCCCAAAAAGCTGATCACGGGACTTCATTCTTGGTCTGAAGTTAACCTTGGAGTTGATCTATGCCGGGTCCAAGGGACTCGCAGGAGTCTTCTCCAGCACCATCGTTCAAAGGCCTCAATTCTTTGGCGCTCGGCCTTTCTTACGGTCCAACTTTCACAGCCATCCATTGCAAGTGGGAAAATCATAGCCTTGACTATACACACTTTTGTTGGCAGGGTGATGTCTCTTGAAAAGCCTCTCTGACCATCAGGCAACTCAGCTGGGATCGTCAGAGACTTTTCAAAGCATTTTTTTGACTACCTCTTCGGCCAAGAGGTTGCAGAAAAAAAAATGCTTTGAAAAGCCTCTGATGATCGTGGGGCTCAGCTGGGCATGGTTGGGGGGTGGGGCGCAGGGATTTTTGCTACCGGTTCTCCGAACCACCTGCCTCCATCGCTACCAGATCAGGTGATCTGGTCCGAACCGGGAGCATTTCACCCCTGGATGGAAGGTTGGGTCAACCTTGAGCCTTGAAAAAAGTGACTTTATGACTTTTTTCACACCGATGACCATTGCAGCATCCCCCCATTGTCATGTGATCAAAATTTGGATGCTTTGGTACTGGTTCATATTTATGATGGTTGTAATGTCCCAGGAACATGTCTGTGTTCCCCTTTAGCAACCTTCTGGCAAGCAAAGTCAACGGGGAGGCCAGATTCACTTAACAAACACGTGACTAATTTAACAACGGCAGTGATTCATTGAACCACTTTGACGGGAAAGGTCATAAACTGGGTAAAACTCACTTAACTAATGTCTCACTTAGCAATGTAAATGTTGGGGTCAATCAGGAGTGAAATGCTCCCGGTTCGGACAGGATCACCTGATCCGGTAGTGATGGAGACGGGGGATTCGGAGAACCGGTAGCAAAAATCCCTGCCCCCCCCCCATGCCCAGCTGAGCCGCGCGATCATCAGAGGCTTTTTTTCTTTTAAAAGCCTCTGACGATCCAAGCTGAGCTGCCTGATTCTCAGAGGCTTTTTTTCTTTTAAAAGCCTCTGACGATCCCAGCTGAGTTGCCTGATCGTCAGAGGCATTTAAAAGAAAAAAAATCCTCTGCCGATCAGGCAACTCAGCTGGGATCGTCAGAGCCTTTTGAAAGCAGTTTTTTACAACCTCTTCGCCGAAGAGGTTGTAGAAAAAATGGTTTTAAAAGTAAAAAATAAAATAAAATTGGCCACACCCACCCAGTCATATTACCACCACCACCACCAAGCCACGCCCACAGAACCGGTAGTAACAAATTTTAGATTTCACCACTGGGGTCAATTGTGGTAAATCAAGAACTTCTTGTACTGGTCTTCATTTCATGATTATTCTGATTTGATTTGATTTTTTTGCTAGAAGGGAATGACTATAAGCCTAATTCTAAAATTTTCGAAAGAACTGGTATTTCAATAGTATTCTGCAAAAATATATATTAAGGGAAGGTTTGTGCTGGGATTTGAAAAAGTGATTTACTGTATGAATATACTCCATTCTCACTATAAACTAATCAAGGTCCTTTGATTTCATTAGATATTATCTGAAATAAGGAACATGTGGTCTGATGTCAATAGGACATTTGCAATCTGCCCTGCAGAAATAATGATGATAGATCTAATCCAGGGGTGAAATGCTCCCGGTTCAGACCGGATCACTTGATCCCGTAGCGATGGCGGCAGGTGGTTCGGAGAACCGGTAGCAAACATCCCCGCCCCCCTCCCATCCCCAGCTGAGCCCACGCAACCATCAGAGGCTCTTTTTTTATTTTTAAAAGCATTTTTTCTACAACTTCTTCGGCAGAAAAAATGCTTTTAAAAGTAAAAAAAAAAAGCCTCTGATGATTGCGCGGCTTAGCTGGGATCGTCAGAGGCTTTTAAAAGCATTTTTTCTACAACCTCTTCAGCCGAAGAGGTTGTAGAAAAATGTTTTTAAAAGCAAAAAAAGCCTCTGCTGATCAGGCAACTCAGCTGGGATCGTCAGAGGCTTTTAAAAGCATTTTTTCTACAACCTCTTCAGCCGAAGAGGTTGTAGAAAAATGTTTTTAAAAGCAAAAAAAGCCTCTGCTGATCAGGCAACTCAGCTGGGATCGTCAGAGGCTTTTAAAAGCAAAAAAAGCCTCTGCTGATTAGGCAACTCAGCTGGGATCGTCAGAGGCTTTTAAAAGCATTTTTTCTACAACCTCTTCAGCCGAAGAGGTTGTAGAAAAATGTTTTTAAAAGCAAAAAAAGCCTCTGCTGATCAGGCAACTCAGCTGGGATCGTCAGAGGCTTTTAAAAGCATTTTTTCTACAACCTCTTCAGCCGAAGAGGTTGTAGAAAAATGTTTTTAAAAGCAAAAAAAGCCTCTGCTGATCAGGCAACTCAGCTGGGATCGTCAGAGGCTTTTAAAAGCAAAAAAAGCCTCTGCTGATTAGGCAACTCAGCTGGGATCGTCAGAGGCTTTTAAAAGCATTTTTTCTACAACCTCTTCAGCCGAAGAGGTTGTAGAAAAATGTTTTTAAAAGCAAAAAAAGCCTCTGCTGATCAGGCAACTCAGCTGGGATCGTCAGAGGCTTTTAAAAGCAAAAAAAGCCTCTGCCGATTAGGCAACTCAGCTGGGATCGTCAGAGGCTTTTAAAAGCATTTTTTTAAAAATTAAATGGTTTTAAAAGCCTCTGATGATCCCAGCTGACTTGCCTGATTGGCAGAGGGTTTTAAAAGCATTTTTTACAACCTCTTCGCCCGAAGAAGTTGTTGAAAAAATGGTTTTAAAAGTAAAAAAAAAAAAAGGTTGTCCACGTCTACCCAGTCACGTTACCCACCACCACCACCACCAAGCCATGCCCACAGAACCGGTGGTAACAAATTTTACATTTCACCACTGATCTATTCTACTTGTTGGAAGAAATCTCCATCTGGGTTCAGTTCCAAGTGAGGAGAAAGACACTGGAAACATGGAGGCTGTTTGGAAAGATGGTTTAGTTGTGGACAGGACCACATGGGTTTGAAGTCCTGGGTAAAAATGAGCACATGGAAGAGAGAGAGAGAGAGATGGTATTTATATCCTCTCTTGGACCCTGCCTTAGAGCTTCCTGTTCCTGTGTAAAGGTAGGTATCCTGATTGGTTGTCAGACTCCCATGGGGCCACGCAGGGATAACTTTGTAGGTTGTCTTGAGTCCCAGGCTTGGTTGACTCTTGCTGGGTGATGATGTAATGAAGAGGGTTTGGGGGCAATTCTTATTATGGCTGAGGGCTAATCCTACCTTTGTTGGATCTTGGGTATTTGCTTATGAATAGACCTAGCTATCTCTTTATCTCTTAAGTGCTGACATCTGCTATGGGTTATTGAGGAGGGTGGGGCTATTAAGAGTAAGTCTGCTTCCTGCCTTAAAAAAAATGTTCCTCCATATCTCATCCAGGGAAATATAATATTCTGCCTTTTTAATATTTCCTAGCATATTTCATTCTTCTAGGAGAGGGGGTGGGTGCTAACGTCCTACATACTGAATTTGAGTGCTTATATGAATTGATACAGTAATCATTTTGATTTTGTTCTAATGAAAATACGGGTCTCAACCAGCGGTGAAATCTAAAATTTGTTACTACCGGTTCTGTGGGCGTGGCTTGGTGGTGGTGGGGTAATGTGACTGGGTAGGCGTGGCCAATTTTTTTTTTTTTAACTTTTAAAACCATTTTTTTGTGCAACCTGTTCGGCGAAGCGGTTGTAAAAAAATGCTTTCAAAAGGCTCTGACGATCCCAGCTGAGTTGCCTGATCGTCAGAGGCTTTTTTTTCTTTTAAATGCCTCTGACGATCAAGCAACTCAGCTTGGATCGTCAGAGGCTTTTAAAAGAAAAAAAAAGCCTCTGACGATCAGGGAACTCAGCTTGGATCGTCAGAGGCTTTTAAAAGAAAAAAAGCCTTTGCCGATCAAGCAACTCAGCTTGGATCGTCAGAGACATTTAAAAGAAAAAAAGCCTTTGCTGATCAGGCAACACGATAATCAGAGGCTTTTTTTTAAAAGCATTTTTTCGGCAGCTCAGCTGGG